GAGGTCTATAACTCAAGAAAGTTTTTTTAAAACACTTATAATCCTATCATCAACAGTAGTAAAAGATAGAAAAAATTCAATTACATTCAACGAAGGTGATAAAGTTGAGTGACCTTCTAGTGACCTTAAAATTTCTTTCAGAAGTTTCTCAACCATATCGTTAGATAGACCCCTCAATTCTCCACATAGTGAGATGCTGGCCAAGTTTGTACCATGTTGTGTCAAAAGTGCCATACAAAATACGGTGCAGGTCGAAAACGGCATTAACGCGAATCAATTTATATTAGTAATGTTAAAAAGCCTGAAACTCGGTCGTGCAAGATCGTAGAAACTTGCTTAGCATCCCATTTTGGGGGAATTGAAGAGGCTATCTAATGATATGGTTGAAAAACTTCTGAAAGAAATTTTAAGGTCATTAGGTTTTCTGGAAAACGGTTTTTTTCAGAAGTTCCTGTCTCAAGATCCCGAGATGTAGCATAACTTTTCTTTATCGAAATATATAGAACCCGACGCACGCTTTCAGTTGATACCGACGTCAAGGTTCTACAATAGGGAATATGGTCAGCAGACGTTCTTCAAGTTAGGCCAAATCCACCGGAAAATGCATTTTCCGCTTTGAGGGTAAAATGCAAGGGGGAAAAGGCGACTTCTTTCTTTCTTAGCATCGCAGAGCATCGCTCAGCATCGGAGAGCATCGGAGAGCATCGGAGAGCATCGTTCGCTCAAAATTTTCATTTCTAAGAAAAACTTCTGTTCCCCAAACAGAACAATCCGGTTCTGTTAGCGGGAAATTTTTCCTGATAACGGAACAATTGTGTTCTGTTCCGTGAATTCTATTCCCACAGACAGAACCTTTTTGTTTTGTTTGCGGGAAAGAGCCATTTCCTTAATCTGTGGCACTACGAGCCACTCAGAGCATCGCTCAGCATGTCAAGCTCTGGAAAGCATTTCAAGGGCTCCGGAAAGCTCCCGGAGCCGCCTTTTCCCCCTTGGTAAAATGGCTATAACTTGTTTTCTAACAAGGCTAGAGACCTGTGGTTTTCACCATTCGATTCAGCTGGCCGAGCTCTATAATATTAGGTAGATCTCGCCGCTGACGTCAAAGCTTGATGTAAATTGTGGTAGATTTTATACGGGTTGAGCCTATCCGTCAATGTCGAAAACACTACTCTCCAGTAGTAACATCCGTAAAAGTGATTGTTTACACTTTCAACTAGAAATGAACTACCAGCCATTCTGTAGAGTTTTGAAAGAGCTTTCTTTGATATATAATGTAGACCGCAATCTAGGTTCTTTCATGGTGAAAAAAATTTACATAAAAAAGCGTTTAGGAGAGGTTCAACTCCTCTTTTCCGTTTGAGGTGCACAACAAAAAAAAATATGTGCCAGTTATTTTTAAGAGAAATGATAAACGGTCGTACGAATAAAATGTATATTTTTGTTGTGCAACTCAAACGTAAAAATGAGTGCCGACTCATGCAACGAATATTGATTGCTTTTTTAGCTGAAGGGTCTTTCACTTGAAGTTTACTCAGAAGGAGTTGTTTATTTAAAAATAAAACGAAAATAGTAAATTTTTGGCATGCTTTTTAAAAGCAGAATGATAGGAAGTTGGAATAGTATGGTATATTCAACAAACGAACAGATTTTGAATAACTGCAGACATAGTAATTTTCAATTTCCAATTTTATGATATTCATCCTTTCCTTGTCGTCTAGCCTGTCTTCTTAGCTTTTTATATTGTTACTCTTTTGTTTTTCTTATCCATAGGTACCTTCTGTGGGCACCTACGAGCAACATCTTTATTATTGTTAGGTCCATTGATCAGCGGTCTTTGACCGCTGATCTTTTCTTATCACAATCAATAAAGATACACATCACCCCTCACAAAAAGTTGTATGATGACGTACATTGTGCATCAATATTAAATGAAGAAAAGAAACAGAATGTAGGAGAAGATTTCTTTTACCGACAATATTTTTTTCATTCGCTCGTTGAATATCATTTAACATTCAAAATCACCTTGTTGTCGATATCTACACGTATATATGAAGGTTGTCTAAATAGGGATTTCTTTCATTTGTTTCTTTACTGTCGCATGCATATTGTTCTCTTCTCCTTAGATTTCTTATTTTTGTTCTTTTCTACTCTGTTTATTCTCACTCACAATTACGAATGATTTGTAGCTAATACGCGAGAATTTCTACGTTCATTCGTTTTGTATTTGATTTACCGATTCTAACCAGTCGACCATTTGAGCACTTAGAGGTGTTCGTTTTTACAGTCGAGAAAGGGAAAATGAAACAAAATTCGATTTGTTTATCAAGTTTGGTTTTATGATATTATTCTTTTCTTTTTTTGCAGAATAATGACGGCAGTGAATCGAAGCACGAAACAAAATACACCTCTATCACTATCTCTTTTCGCATTTGGTGGCACAACAAAACCCATGTCCGAAATTATGTTCAACAAATATGATGTGGATAATAACGGTAAATTAACTAACTTCTTCTTCAAACAGTCGCCAATGCTCTCTTGTTTTAGGATCAATCTCTCGTGATGAACTTCGTTCTTTATGCTATGATCTAGGCTATTATCTTTCCAACGATGAATTAGCTTGGGCTTGCACCGTCATTGATAAGGATGGCAGTGGAATGATTGATTGTCGTGAATTTGCCGAATGGTGGAAAACGTCATCTCGTTTTGATCATCTGAAAATGCCAAATGAAAAGCAAGCCCTACTCTTATCTTGGATAGTCGAAATTTGTCGTTCGTTTGATAAACTCAATACAGGAACCTTGGATCCAGACCAATTTACTGCCGTTTGTGAGGCTCTTAGTCAAGAAGGTATTCTTAATGTTAACGAGTACCAAGCGTGTGCTTTTAACGAAATCGATCGTAATCAAGATGGACGAATTAATTTCAATGAATTAATTGCTTGGTTTAAAAATATCGGCATACTCGATAATGCCAGTACCGAAAACTCCTAAAAAATTTATTGACCTTTTTACTAATGCACATATATCATCTTGTATAATCTACAAGAAGAACGTATGTCTTTCATGTGCTACAGACTGCATGTCGAAGATTAGTCTTGACTGTTGTATGACTAACATGTACGAATAAAGATATACCGAAGTATTATTGATGTTAAGAAATTATTTCAATGGACAATAACGGCATCACGTCATAATGTGTCAATCCGACAGACGTTCGATCTAAATAACAATTTTCATTTCTACCTACCTATAATGACCAACTTCTCAGCTTGTTTCCTTCCATATAGTGTCGTAGTAAGACGACACACTGCGTTACATAAAAACATCTTTTCTATTACTGTTGATGATAGGATTATAAGTGTTTTAAAAAAACTTTCTTGAGTTATAGACCTT